CTAAATATATAACAGTCTATATTAAGTTAATGGTCATTCTATTTCAAACACAATCTACAAGTACTAATTTTTTCTTCTTCCTCCTGCACACTTTTTGTGTGAGATGCCATAATCTACATCTTCTGTGTAATACTTTCCTGATTTTGTGTATAGTTGATTTTACTACTGTTTTTTAACTTCATATTTGCTTAGTAAGAAATTCATCTTTTACCTTTACTGATGGAAAGTATTTAGGGTTAAGAACATTTCCATCTACAGAAGTCTCTTTGACATAGCCTATACATCTGGTTTAGTGGTGGTAAATTCTTCTAACTTTCATTTATCTGGAAACTTAGTCTCTCTTTCAATGCTGAATGATAACCTTGCTGGGTACAGGATTCTTGGTTTAGGTTCTTCTGTTTCAATATATACTTCATGCTTCTCCCTTCTGTTCTGTAAAGTTTCTGCTGAGAAATCTGCTGATAGCCATGTGGGGTTTCCCTTATTGGTAACAGTCTGCCTCTCTCGATGCTTTTAAGATTCTCTCTTTATCTTTAATCTTTACCATTTTAATTGCTGTATGTCTTGAAGGTGTTGTCTTCTTGGGGTTCTTTTTGTTAGAGGCTGTCTGTGCCTTCAGAACCTGGGTGTCTGTTTCCTTCCACACATTGAGAAAGTTTTCAGCAATTATTTCTTCAAAGAGACTTTTTTTCTCCTTTGTCTCTCTCTTCTCCTTCTGGGACCCCTATCATGTGAAAATTGTTTTGTTTGGAGTTGTTGCACAGCTCTCTTAGATTCTTCTCATTTTCTGAAATTCTTTTTTCTCTCTATTTCTTAGCTTGTTTATCTGTTCTCTATTTTCCATCTCATTAATTCTTTCCTCTAATTCCAGCAGTCTACTATTCATTCCCTCCATTGTATTTTTCATTTTGGTTCTTGTGTTCTTTAGCTCTGAGTAGCTCTTTTTCAAATATTCTATCTCTGTTGAAGTTCTCTCTGAGATCATCAATTCTTTTTCCCAGGTCAGTGAGCATCTTTATGACCATTTCTTTGAAATCTTTATCAAGAATTTGGTAATATATGTTCCATTTAGACTTCTTTCTGGTGTCTTATCTCTTTCTTTTGTTTGGAACATATTCCTCTGCCTCCTCATTTTGTCTGAGTTTCTGTGTTTCTTCCTTTGTAGCAGAGAGATCCTCTATGCCTCCTGGTCTAGAGAGTAATGGCTTTATGAAGAAGGTGTTCTGTGGTGCCCAAAAGCTCAAGACTCTTTGCTCACTAGTGCCTGGTTCTCCTTTGTGGTAGAGCTAGAGTTACTGTTGGTGGGCTGTGGGTTGGTGGCCTTTTTGCCTCCTGTGGCTGATCTTGGGTAGCAGAGGATGACAACTCACCTTGGTGGGCCCTTTGTGTCGCAGGTGGCACTTCTGCTGGGATCATTGTGGATGGGGCACCCTTTACCTACTGGGCTGCAATGACCATGCTGCTGGGCTGATGGGGCAGATGCGGTGGGTACACAGGGGAGCATGACTTGTGGCTAAGCCACTGGTGAGGGAGATGGAGTGTTTGGAGCTGGCTCCCACTGGCACCAGGCCAATGGGCTGAAGGAGGGCTGGGAAAGTCTGCCTGTGCCCTCCAGGTAGCAAAGTGTCTCTCTACCTGCCACGTGCAAAATCAGACCACTGCTGGGCTGAGCATTCTCAGTGGGTGGGTTCTCAGGGAAGCCCTTCAGGGCTGAGTCACCAGTGAGGTAGATGGAACATTTGTAGCTGGCTCTCACAAGGACCTTACCAGTAGGGCTGAGGGAGAGCTAGGGAGGCATTGTCCACTTGCCCTTTCCCTCTTGAGACATCTCCCTCCAACCCCCACCCCTCTGGCACACTTCCTCCTGCTGGTAAAGCTTTCAAACTGCCACCTCTATGTTGGGTCTCAGCAGGACCAATGAAGAGTAGCTGTCCTTCACAAGTGATGGTTGTCTCAGCTTCCCAGAGTCTCCAACTCTCCTTGGTGTCCAGCCCCATTAATCGCCAAAGCCCAATGCAATGTAGACTCATGCTCCCAGAGCAAGTCTCCCAGGCCAGGTGTGGCAGGATTCCTGTGCACTTGTGGGCTGGGATGGAGGAAGGGCTTAGGTCCCAATCGATTGTAGCTCTGACACTTTGCCCTTCTCAATGTGGTCTTCTCTTTCTTCACCATTTGTAGATGGTCTTGTCAGTAGTCTTTAGGTCATTTTCATGGTTAGTTGTATTTGCTGTAGTTGCTTCCTTGGGTGTACATAGAAGGAGGGTTCTGTCTTGCCTTCCTATTCCACTGTCTGTTCTTCCTGGAACTTTTTGTTAATGTATAAGATCAGGGTTAGGTAGCTACACAATAATTTAAGAGAAGGTACTTTAGAGATGAATTAGTGATAGGTAAGCACATGTTTTCTGATCCCTGGAGGAGATTCATGATAAACAAAGTGGGGATTGTTGTAGTGTCTAAGGTTACTCCAAGCTCTAAAATTCTATGAATTTATCATCTATATGACTGCCATACACCAGGGTACAAATATAAATAAAACACATTCTTGTACATTAGGCACTTTGACTTTTATGGATAGTCTTTAAAAAAATCTTATTTCAATTTGTACTTTTTTGAGTAATAAAAATTATGTATGTGTATATATACACATATGACACATATGTATGTATTTGTGTGTATATATATGTACACAAAATATATTTTATATATATATATATTTAGCTAGGTCCAGTTTATATATTGTGAATTGTTTATAACCTTTGCCTATGATTCTACTATAATATTTTTAAAACTAGATTTATAAAAGTTTAAAAAATATATTAAGTATTCTAGTTTTTTGTTATAAATATAACTAGTATTTTCTCAGTTTGCCATGTCTTTCTAAAGATCTTTCTCATCTTACAATTGTACAAATATTTGTATTTCTTCTAATACTTTTATGGTTTCATTTTCCCTCAAAAACCCTTTAGTCCACTGAGAATTTGTTTTTGTGTGTAGCATAACATGGTACTATATTTTTTCCAGTTGATGAGTCCTTTACTCTAACACCATTTATTGAATAGTCTTACTTGTTCCACTAAATACAGTACTTTTTTTTTTGATATCATTAATCTACAAGTACATGAAGAACACTATGTTTACTAGGCTCCCCCCTTTACCAAGTCCCCCCCACAAACCCTATTACAGTCACTGTCCATCAGCGTAGTAAGATGCTGTAGAGTCACTACTTGTCTTCTCTGTGTTGCACAGCCCTCCCCGTGCCACCCCCACATTATACATGCTACTTGTAATGCCCCCTTTCTTCCCCCCACCCCTTATCTCTCCCTTCCCACCCATCCTCCCCAGTCCCTTTCCCTTTAGTAACTGTTAGTCCATTCTTG